TTTAATTTCATTGCCATAAACTGAATACCAACATAGAAAAGACTGGAAAAACTAATTTGATTTCCATGAAAAACACCCAAAGATAAGTATTTGCTTTCTTCCCAATATCTCAGCTGGTGGGAAGCTGAGCTCCCTAGAGCAGATATAAGAGCCTCTACATCAGATCTGCTAACGGCAAACAGACTTGAAAGAATTCAAGTACAAGACCCTGAGCCTTAGATGCCCTATCTCTGGTAAGTCATAAGCGGATTCTCTCCTGGCCAGCTCTCATTGCAGATGAGCACTTCACCATGACAGCAACAAAGGAACAGAGTAGAACTTCCAATTGCCAGCACCTCAACCTTACAGGCTGGATGAACATTTTCCATAAGGTTTTTCTTAGATTCCCTAAATGAGTGTGTGGGTCCAAATGACTAGTTTTTCCAAATAAATGCAGCTCATGTTAAGGATACTGAATGACAAGCAAACTTTGTACACGTACCATATAAAAGTGAAAACATAACACAGGGTTCTGCAACTATGCCTAGAACATTGCAGACACCCAATAAGTATTTGTTGAAAGAATGTTTATAATGGTTAATATTTGCTAAATAATTAGATAAAAAATAAGGCAAATGGAAATAGTGTTTCTAAATCAACTTATCTTCATCAGAGGGAAGCTTTTTCTTGCTTTATTCCTAATGTAGTACCATATGCTCAGATATCCAAACTGACAAGTCAATGGTTATTAAGAAAGACAATTAGTCCATTATAATGGACTAATTATAGAAAGGATATTCTGGTTGATTATAAAAGTTAGTGCCACTCACCTTATAAACCTTACTGAAATAAAACAACTTCAGGTTGATGAAACTGCAGGAATTTGTGAGGTGATTAGTTTCTCATGCACCCTATGTTTTATTTCAGACAAGGAACTAAGAAAAGATATATTAATACAGTTAGTTTAACAATAAGCTGTCCACTTTCCACATTCTAGAACCCTAAGACAGATCCAAGCAAAACACAGTTCACCTTGGAGTTCAGCAGGAAGGGAAATTCTTAAAGCATACTAATTTACCAATGCCAAGAAGGTGAGCAATTAATTTTACATTACATTTTTCTTTTCTTAAGCCTCTTTTAAAATCAGGGCAATTATTTCTCCGTATCTAACAACCGTGGTGCTTGAAATACTATATGGGATCATCAAATGGATAAAAGACATAGAAAGTATCTTCACAGATCACATCTCCTCTTTCGGGTAAGATTCTACAAATCACAGTGTGTAACAGCATCAGAAGTCCTCCTCGATCTCCCTGACAGCAGCATAAGCTCTTTCCTTCTTCAGTCTTCAAGGAGACATGAAGATGACCTACATATCACCCTCCGAATCACCATCTTTAGGGTTTTTTATTGTAAATCACAGTACTCAATTCTCACTCTCATTAACTCTTCCTTAATTTACTGACATCACAAAATAACATTTTAAAAGAAAACATAGTTATTTGGTCTGTGTATGAAAAGGACTTTCTAAGCATAAAAGCAATGAATCAAAAAGAAAAAGATTAATAGGTAGACAACATAAAATTGTTTTAAATTCTATAACTCAAAAGCCATCATAAATTAAGTGAAAAGGCAACTGTGGGGAAATGCCCCATGATAAGCAAGAGTTAATATCCTTACTCTATCAAGAGTTCACACAAATCACTGTTTGTGATTTGTGCCAGGTCAGTGCCCCCAGTGTTCCCCTCCTTGACCATATTAAAAAAGAAACACTGCAAGTTTCCTACAAAAACAGGATTACAGCTTCTTTCTCCCAGGTTTCAGGATCACTCTTGCCTCTCCTACCATGGTCCTTTGCCTCCTACCTGGATGCCCCCTTTCTTCCAAGTCCTGTTAGACTGAAGATTTCAGATACATAGGCCGTCAGCCTGGTCTTGATTTCAGATTTTCCCCAAGACCCAGACTCTGAAACACTTTCTACATTGTTCTGTAGCCTGCAGGCAAGTAACAACTTGCCCCAGGCTCCAGGGATACCTTATTCAACTAATTCCAGCCAAAGCCCAGCATACTGGCTCCTGTCTGGGCTGGGAAAGACAGAAATCAAACAATTGATAAGAAAAAACTGAAACTCCAATATAAAAGCCATCATAGAGCTTATGCAGGTAATTCAAAGAACAGATATATCTAATAGCTAACGACAAGGTTTTTTTATGCTGAAACACATTAATGATGAAAGAATGAAAGATACGAGTTAAATTAAGGAGGTACTATTTTTATCTGTGATATTAAAAAAGATTTTTTAAAATAATAATGCTAATACAGGTGTCATAAAACTGACGGTGGGATGGTAGGCTAGTATACTCTTTCTGAAGGTGGCAATATGTTTCAACAGCATGCACAATGAGCCTGCCCTTAGACCCTGTAATTTCATTTTTTAATCAGTCACTAAATAACAATATCTTATTTATTTAATCATTTCACAGTTACAAGCTCATAGAAGCCTCATGACAATCTGTCAGTTAGGTTGAGATACCCTCATTGTGCACAGGAGCAAACTAAAGTGAAAACTTGTTACAGCAGTCAAGCCAGGTTTTCCGTCACTTGGTTCCAACATCAGTGCTCTTTCTACTGTCCCTTTTGTGGAAAAAAGTGGAAACTTTTTTTTTTTTGCATTTTACTGTCATCTATGTAGTTGGTCATGGGGTTCTTTTTCATTACATCAAATGAAATGTTATAGACAATTTCATCTAAAACCTCTTCTTTTAGGTTCTTCCCCAGGAATTCTCTAACTTTTCTTTCTTCTTTTTATTGTTGAGAATATTACAGATGTCCCCCATTTCCCCCCCCTTTTCCCCTTCCACCGAGCTCCCATCCCACTCGAGGCCTTCACCTCACTATTGTCTGTGTCCTTGGGCTATGTCTGTATGCATATAAATTCTTTGGTTAATCTCTTCCTGTCCCCCCTCCCCACTTCGATCTGTCAGTCTGTTTCATGCGTCCATGTTAGTTTATTTTGTTCATTAGATTCCACATATAAGTGAGATCATGTGACATTTGTCTTTCTCTGCCTGGCTTATTTCACTTAGTGTAATATTCTCCAGGTCCATCCACGTTGTCTCAAAGGGTACAAGATCCTTCTTCTTTACAGCTGCGTAGTATTCCATGGTGTAAATGTCCCACAGCTTTTTTATCCACTCATCTCCTGATGGGCACTTGGGCTGTTTCCAGATCTTAGCTATTGTAAACTGCGCTGCTGTGAACACAGAGGTGCATATATTCTTTCTGATAAGTGTTTCAGGATTCTTAGGATATATTCCCAGAAGTGGGATCGCTGGGTCAAAAGGCAGTTCTATTTTTAATGTCTTGAGAAAACTCCATAGGAGGGCTCCCTTTCTCTACATCCTCGCCAACACTTATTGTTTGCTGATTTATTGATAGTAGCCATTCTGGCAGGTGTGAGGTGAAACCTCATTGTGGTTTTGTAATTTCATTTTTAGAAAATGATCTTCAGCAATCAAAAATCCAGTCACAAGATTTACGTATGAAGACATTTCAACATTTTTGTATGTGAAATACAAATATTCAACAATGAGTAAATTGCAAGTAAATTATGATTCATCACAATGTGGGTGATTATGGAGCCAATAAAAATGATACAGTAAGAGCGGACCCTTCCATAGCACAAAGGGTCATTCACTGTTCTAGAGCAGTGATTTTCAACCTTTTTCATCTCATGGCACACAAAAACTAATTACTAAAATTCTGCAGTAAACCAAAAGATATATTATCTTTTTTGCTGATCTGACCAAAAAAAATAGGTATAATTTTGAGTCATTCACATGGGACACCTATTGCTGTGCTGGCTGTTGTCATTTTATCATTTTATTTGACAGTCTAAGGGAAAAGTGGTCAGCGCCCCTGACTAGTCAGGTATTGCATGTTTTAAAAATTCTTGCGGCACACCTGTTGAAAATCGCTGGTCCAGGGTCATAGTGGCAGGTGAAAGAAATAAGTGGGTGAACTTGAGATTGGTTTGAAGATAAAGTGAACAGACTGTGACAATGATTTGGATATGGAAGTAGAGAGAGTGGCAGGTGTCAGGGATGAGTTCAAGACTTCTGGCTTACCCAGGGATGGGGACCGTCCAGCCCGCAGGCCTGCGAAATCATTTGGTCTGGCCCTGCCAAGGCCTCACCAAAGAGAAGCAGTTCCAGCCATCACATTAGGGGTGAGTTAATTAAATGTCTGACCAAATATAGCAGGCTAATTTTTAAGCTGATAATTCTGTATGGCCCTCGAGTGATATTATAAATATCCGAATGGTCCTTGGCAGAAAAAAGGTTCCCCATCCCTGATAGATGGATGATGGTATGATTCATTGAGATAGGAACAGGAGAGATTTACATGAGCCAGAAATTTAAATGTGTGAGACATCTGCATACGGCTTGTAATTTGAAGCATGGACTTGGAAGAGTGTCTAAACCAAGGAAAGAAAGTTTAGGTTCAAAATTTGTTTCTTTCCATTCTCAGAGCCCTCCTCCAATGCATGACCACCCAAATTCCTGGTTGAATACTGGAGCTGTTTGGTAGTTAGACAAAAAAGCAGGTCCTCCTTAGCTGGTGATGTGAGAAAAGGAGTCTCAAACCACTTTTGCATGCAAATACCCCTTACAACTAACTTGCAAGTGTTTTACATTCACTGTTCACAAAAGAGTTTCACCGGAGGTCTCCTTCAAGCCCACAATTCTGTGAGAAATTACCTGAGTTTACAGATGAGGAAACTGAGGTAGAGCGCTTAAGTTACCTGTCCACTAGCCAGCAAGGGCTGGTCTTATGCCAGCCTGCGCCTTGGTATGTGCAGCCACTGTGGGCGAGGGCCCTATTCAGTGCTGGAAGAAAGAGCTACCATGTTATGAGGCCCTACTACGTCTCAAGCTCTAAATTCAAAAAGATAGGAAGGGGGCGGGAAATAGCAATTTCAGAATTTTCAGGACGGGTTACTTTTTCCAAATCCCACTTACCCCATCCGTAAGTTCACTTTACACTTTCAAAAAGGTTCAGGTCCCAAGACGGGGTGGCGGTGAGAGGTGGAGATGAACCAAGGCAGCCAGGGGCCACCCCAAACACCCGGCCGGGACCCGGACCCGGGGGCAGTGGGGTCTCAACGGCTCGGCCCCAGCAGACGCCAGGAGGGGACCGCGGGCCTGGGCCGCCTCCCTCCGCGGCTGGGGCCGCCAGCGGCCCGTTTGCCCGCGCGTTGCTATAG